GAATTTCTGATGCTCTGAAATTCTATGATTTACGTAAAGTGACAGAATCAAAAGGAATAGATACCAAAGCACCGTGCCCATGAATCTTCTTTCTATAATATCTAAGCCTAATCGCTAATCTAAACCCTGCCTAAGCCTAATCCTAATTTAACCCTGGTACTAAGAACTACTAAATAAATAAGTCCAATTCACTATAAGAATTTTTTTCGTGGAATTGCAACCAATTACCAATAACTCCAACAAAAAAAGAACAATTCGCAAATTGCATTGAAAAAATTTTGCACAGCCTTAACCTGTTCAACTTTTATAAAATTACCTCCGTAATTATAGGGGACCGGTCGTTTCCTGTCTGTACCGAGGGTCAACTTACATTGGTTATGTTTTTATTTCATTTACTTTCATTGGGCTGCAAAACCTCATTGGACCATTGTATCAAGGACTTTTCACATTTCTTAGAAGTATAGAATTACATCAGAAGTGGGCTCATGAATGCTTCTCTTGCAGAACAAATGCTTCCCACATTTTAAACAGACCATCGAGGTTACCGTTTTAATACATACAACCTTGTCAAAAAAAAATTAAATAACAATTTGTATAAATATATTGTATGAATTCCCTGAATATGTTGGTGAGGCCAAATTGGAGCAAATGTAGAGTGTTTTTCAGGTTTTATTATACATATGACCTGACGATAAATAAGTCTGATACAATTGATAATTTTACTAACAAACTACTCAAATGTCAGGAAGTTATCGATTTACATTCAAAAGATTTTGTTCAGAAAATAATATAAAACGGATTAGACATTTAATATCGACTTCCTAGGTTATTTGATTCATTATTTTATTTATTTAAAACTACATTATGTTTATTTGAAACAGCATTATGTTATTTTAAAGAACCTATAGAATTATAGTTATTGTAAATAAACACTTATAATTTTCCTGTTATTCTTCGTAGAAAAGACATCAACGCGTAAAAATTTCAGATTTCCCTAATGTCTGTTCAATTGATTAAAATATTCTATTAATATAGAAATAAGTAATGAACAACACTTTTTTATAGAATATTTAATAACTTTTCATTTAACATTTTAACACATTTTTTTAATACAATAAGGTGTTTAAAAAATCTTAGCACTTGCCCTATTTTCTGGCTACTCTACTTTAACTGATTGTAACCAACTGGTCCAAGTGTAAAACTGTCGGTCCTGATGATTCATGAACAGACACACATAACACATAGTAAATAAATGTTTTCGTTGTGGAAATACTGAGGATTGAAGTAAATACTAAAACTGTAAACCATACGAAAATGTATTAATAGAAACTAGCCAAATAAATAAAATTAAATGCCTTCTAAAATTAAAACGTCTAAACCATTAATATACGCTTCTGAGTCATCATCGATAAAATACAGTTATAAAACATGTCACAATATTTGTGCGTACGTATTTGTATGACAGTGCGACCAGTACGTAAATGTCAAGTGTATGCGGCGCACGCGCTGAAAAGGTCGGACACTCGCGCGCAGGTCTCAGCGTACCGACAAATCGAATTAATTACAAAAGCCAACGCAGACGGGGGATTTTTGGTCGAAGAAAACCACTGAAAACTTTGGTTTAGCATCACGTAGCACTCTCGGTTTTATTTATGAGTTACTAGCTTAAGTCAGCGTCATCCTGATAATAAATAGTTCATGTCTTCTTCCTGACTATAGTACACAACAACAGCAATCTATCTTTGTGCCTTTCATTCATATCCGTGCTATAGTTTTTCCACGAAAAAGTGACCAACGTACAATCTATAAATAATATACATACCTATACATTTACACAAACCTTTACATAATCTAATGTATTAGTAGGATTTGACATAAAAAATGAAAACTCGGTGAATAGTCCTTCGTCTGCGCAGGTTTTAAATAAACGCAGTATCGAACATTATTGCATCAGATGACTTGTTTAAGATGTGCTTCGGATATAATTTACGTAATAAGCGTAATATCAATTTGGTAAGTGTAAAATTGTAAATTAGGCTTTATATTAATCGGCTCTAAAGGTTGAACTCGTAAGATATTTGCCAAATGTTACAACTATATTGAATGCGTATGCTCTTTATTTTTGAAGGACTAAATGGTAAATAAATATTGGTTACTTATTTGTACTGATTTTGTTGGTAGTTTGTTATCGACATTTAGAACTGAATATCGGAACTTTCAATTAAAAGAGCACTTGTCAAAATATAATTTAATGATTTTCAATTTTAATTACTATTCGCATATATCCATTTGCTTTCAGTGAGTTATTACTTTAATATTATATAGGTACTTCACACCCTATTTTTTGTTTTATTTACTAGCTGCCCTAGTCAAGTATGTACCGCCTAATATTTTTTTCTCACCTGTTAAACCTTCCCTGGACTTTCACGAACATTTCATGACAAAAATTAGCTAAATTGGTTCAGCCGTTCTCGAGTTTTAGACAAAGACACTTTTGCAAGTTGAACCCATAAAAAAATAAGGTAAAACATTGAAATATAATTTATAAACTCTATACATAATATTTAGAATTACAATTAGCTGTTACCATAACGTTCATAGGAAATTCCCAAGTTGCACCATACCTAACTCGTTTTCGTGACACTTATTCCGGAGCGTAATCTTGAAACGTACCGCGTGTCGCTACGTGCGGTACTTACAAAGACATGTTTCGGTATAATCCGCTTAAGATTTGTGTATATTAAATAATTAAAATGAATGGCAAAAATATCACAATTACTATAGTTCTAAGACAATGTCGCATCTTATTAGGATGTACTCAATACAATGCTACATTTATCAGGGGGCTTGTAACTACATAATTATAATTTCAAATAATGCGCTCTGTATTAATTTGTAATTTTAATAGATCATCGACATCACATAGAGAGTGTACACAATCAATTATGAAATTGAAACTTGGTTTCAGTCAAGACCAATCAATTGTAACGAAGCTCGATACGAAGTTGAGCCTAAATATTGGAATATGTTTTAAAAAGCACAGCTAGCTCCAATGGGTTTTTAATCCTGACCACTCACAATTCCCAGCTCATCATCCATTGGAACGCTGTGGTTGGCAGGTCGAGAAGCGCACGCGCCGAACTCTTGCGCAACAATTGGCAACCTTGTGAAGGACGCGCGTGCGCACGCCGTCGCCAGGAAAATGGACGCCGTCGTCGTCGCGTGCATTTTCATGAGCTGCCTAGAGCGGCCGAGGGTAGTTCAAGGGTGGCCTGATTGAGGCCGTCCTCGACGGCTGCTATACTGAAATAATATAATAAGCAGATATTGCATAACAGTGAATTCTAACAAAGTTTATGAGCTTTTAATGACGTATATGTGAAATAATTACAATTTATAACAGACAAATTATAATTTTTAACGTAAAGCGTTCGTTTCTTTCTCAAAGAAGTTGTTTTTTTTTAGTTTTTTAGGCTAGACTAGTAGACTTAGATCCTGCAGTTGTTAGCCTACCACTGCAGGCTGTGATGAAAGATCAGTATCTATCATCACAGTTGAGGTAGATTAAAATGCTAAAACCTTTTACCTGAAGTGTTACACTGACATTTTAAAAAGGATTAAAAAAACTCAATTTTCATTTTATCCTATTCAATAAAGCAACTAACTACTAAATACTATTTATAAATAGATAGATAACAAAAATGAACAGATAAAACATGTTTAGTTGTCACAATCTGTTTCAGAGTACAAAGGGGAGATTAATATGGTGTGCCAAAAGTTTGTCGCGAGCTAACGACCCGCCATTAGCCGTCAGTCAAAATAGTGCACGACCTCCGTCCTCGCGAATACATTCACCTGAGAAAACTTCTCTCTGTCATGCAAATGAGAGAGACAGACGATAATGAGGGAATTTACAAAACGTTTAAACAACTGTCAACCTTATTCATACACGTAATAGATATAGTTATACATTTGTACCTGAAAATTGTTCTTAAAATATTCTTTTCATGTATGACTGAAATGTTATTGTATTTTCAACCATCGTCCAAACAGGAGAAGGTTCCTAATTGGGTTGTATCACTTGTAAAGTTGGAAGTTTAGAGAATATTTTGTTATAATGGAAACCTCTTGTATGAACAAGTTTGGTTTAATCATAGCAAAGGATGCAATTCGTGTTCATTGTACATGTTATTTCGTAATTGTAACAAGTTTTGTCGGACAAACTTGTTTAACGTCGGCGACTCCACAAATGTGTTCGCCGAATTAAACTAGATCACTCTTGCCTCTTTAGATTAAGACATGTGATGCAATAGCATTGATGATTATTTGCAAAGACCATTATGAGGCTGTTGTTATTATTTTTCAATAGGGAATTCCATAATATTTACTTTATTGTTTGTTTACATGCTCATGTATGTCATGTCTTTCAATTAAATAATATGTTTACTTCATACTTACTCTGTTTTATCTCCTTATAATACCATATCTGCAGCCGTAACAAAACGTATCACATATTAATTGGCACTAAAACAATACAACGTCACTTGTGTACAAGTGTCACTTCTTGAAAATGTAGAAAATCGACTCTCCTTGAATCTCCTCAGATCTCTTCTTTGAAACAAAAATATTCAAATAACATTGTGATGCAATCCCTGTCTCTACTTTGCCGATATGATTTCTTTTAGAAGCATTGTAACCGTAAAAATTGTAAAAACAAATCCTGAAACTAGCTATTTTGTGAATTGAGCGAAGAATCGGTGTGACCGCGATGTTTCATAGGCCAAGTGTGTTGCACAAGTAGCCGCATTGTTTACGTGGCATTGTCCAGTCGTCCCATCGGCCAGCTCGTACGTGCGTACTTGAATATATTTAAATTTGGAGATGCCACCAGGATGAAGCAAGCGTTCCAACAACTACTATAAATGCTGTTAGTGTCAAACTAAGGGTACAGTTCACAGCTCTAAGCACCCCTGACTACATCTCAACCACAAACACCAGACATGGCATTCAAGGTACGGACCACAATTGGATATGTGAAGTGCAAAACAGTGATATGTGAAACAGTGATTAATAATCTCAAATAGTGATTCAATAAACTAATTAAATCAGTAAACATATTAAAGTGTCAAAAAGAAAATGAGAGTTATGTTTCAAATTATTAATTTCTTTTTCAGTTGGTAGTTCTCTCTTGCCTCCTGGCCCTTGCTCACGGTAGTGGGGTGCCCGCAGCCATCGCTGCTGCTCCCGTGGCCTACGCTGCCCCTGTGGCCGCAGCCAGGTTGGAGGAGTTCGACCCTCGCCCGCAGTACAGCTTTGGATACAACGTGGCTGACTCCCTCACCGGTGACTACAAGAGCCAGACCGAGCAGCGCAACGGAGACCTGGTTCAGGGCCAATACTCTCTGGTAGAATCTGACGGCACTCGCCGAGTGGTCGACTACACAGCTGACCCAGTGAGTGGTTTCAACGCAGTAGTGCGCAACGAGCCCCTTGTTGTGGCCGCTCCAGCTGAGCCTGCTGTTGTTCCCGCTCGTTACACCGCCGCCGCTGCAGTAGCCGCACCTGTGGCTGCTCCTGTAGCTGTTGCTCAGGCTGCTCCAGTTGTTGCTGCTGCAAAATTCGCTGCTGCACCAGCCTACGCCCGATACGTCGCACCTGTTGCCAACGCCGTTGCTGCTCCAGCACCCGCAGTCTACGCTCGTTACGCCGCTGCCACCGTTGCTGCTGCCCCCGTAGCTGCTGCCCCCGTAGCTGCTGCCCCTGTAGCTGCTGCTCCTGCATTCACTGGATTCGCTCGTTACGCAGCTGCACCCTTCGTAGCGTCTAGCTACGTAGCTGCACCTGTAGCGGCTGCTTACAGAACCGCGTACTCTGCTCCGGTTGCTGCGGCCTACTCTGTGCCTTATGCTACTCAAGTGGCAGCTGCATACACTGCTTCAGTGCCTGCTGCGTACACTGCGGCAGTGCCTGCTGCGTACACTGCGGCAGTGCCTGCTGCGTACACAGCGGCAGTGCCAGCAGCCTACAGTGCTCCCGTGGTGGCTGCATACAAGGCGGCTCCCGTAGCTGCAGCATACAGTGCGCCTGCACCCACGGCTGTAGCCCCCGTCCCCGCCTCCACAGCCCGCGCCGCTCCTGCCAAGATCGTAGAATCATCAGCTGCCGCCGGTTACCGTTACCCTTGAATGCCATACTATTATACAATGATACCTATATACCTCTAAAGACTTGTTTTGTATATATTCGACTACTTTTTTATTTTTGTTTTTTTACGAAATGAAATAAATTCATGAGATGTTGAATTGTTGTTTTTTACGAAAACTAAAATTGTGTAAGTACAAAAAGGTTGCATGCAACTATGCATAGAACACACACTAAATAAGAGACATTCTCAAATATATATAGCATGTGCGCCTATTATTTCATTGAACATCACTACATATTACATATTCTGACAGTAATCTGCATGAAAGTGTTGCATTGGTTGACATATACATAAGAAAAACTTCATCGTTTTTATTTTAATAATTAATGCAAAATTATTTAAAACGTATTGAACTATGCAAACAATATCAAAACACCATGACAATACAATGAACATTAACGTCACACTTGTTAATTTAAGTACCTTTTCCATTTCATTTATGTTATGAATTCAAGGTCACGGTCAATAAATGATATTTCATACTTCTGCTGCTCTAGTGATGATTACATACTTTAGATTCCAGGTGATACTCGTATTATAGTATCAGACCAAATATAGCACGGGTAGATTGAAGTGGACTAATAACAATGACAAAGTTTAATGCGCATTCGATGCTCTAGACTAGAAGCACGGACACCATCCATTCCATGCTTTAACCGGACAAACTATTTCAACGAGAGAGTCAAATTGTGTTTCCATCGTTCGGCGTGTAGGTGATAATTAGTAATAATGTCGCATTGTACTTGTAGAACCTGATTTTATAATAATTCATGTCAATCAGCAGCTAGTACTTAGTCTCAAAGTAGTAAATGGTTAATTTATGTTAGCAACATATTCAAGAAAGTAAGTGTTAGTTCAATAGATAATACATTATTATTTTATTTTTAATTTAGATACATTTTTTACTCTTTATCAGACTCATGAGAGGGGAAAATTGAAAAAAAAATTGGCAACACTTATAAAATATGGCGGCAAATATATATATATATATATATATTTAACATAAATTTAATATTATAATTTTTAATCACTTAACGATGAATAAGCGATCTATTTAGTACTTTTTAACCGTCATTTATAATTTTAGCACAGTTTTATGAAGCATGTGGCCATTTTAGCAGTATACTTATTTTATTTACAAATTTATTTTGTAGCGTGTATGCACGTAGTGACGCCTAGGTGACACGATTGGTACTACTTGACGGCTAAGTGCATTGCAGTGACAGTTCACTGCAAATTTTTGTTATGCTTTTCGTGAACTGACACTCCATCTAGACATTATATAATCAAAGACAAGAAGTAATTTTTCCTAAAAATCATCTTATTCCTGATTAAAAAAGACCTACCAATGAATATAGTAAGTATCGTCGAATAATTTGATGAACAAAACTTCACTGAGATATGTCAAAAGATGTGTGTCCAAGAAGAGATTTTTCGATATTTTCGGTAATGTCATACATTTTTTAAACGTTACTGGGGAGCGTTTCCTACTGACAATGATGCGGACGAGTACTTTGATGCCTAATTAAGGATATTTTTTTAAGTTTTATTTTTATTCGTGTAAAACTGTAACATAAAAACTTTGAATAAACAGGTTACAGAAATATTCAATCGTACAATTTCACTGAAAATAATTATATTGGGTTGATTAGGTAAGTTTGTATTGATCCTAGCTATCACCCGTCACAGTATGGTGCATTATTTACGGAACACCTTGTATAAAATACTGTATCGGTTAGTACTGTAAAAGTTGCTTTCACATTTTCATTTACGAAAAAACAAAAGAAAGTTTAAACAAAGGAACGTACTTGTTAAAATCATAGCTGAAACCAATTTCTATTAAAATACTACTTACCTCTACATTCAATCAAAATTGGTTTATCAATTTGGGTGATTGATACGATACTATATTGTTTGACAGACATGCAAATCTGTTATAGTTAAACAGGGACACCTAGAAGTCCCTTACTCAGTTTTTGCTGCATTTTAAACTCAGTTAAGTTAACGACTGAACTAGTGGTCGAGGTGCACACTGCATATGTATGACTGACTTATATTGGTAAACAAAGAGCATATTGTAGATACTCTTTCGCAGGATAATAAACCAGTGTAACGCTATAGAATATTGTTACAAAGGTATACAATTTCAGGGGGCTTAAAAAGCAGGTTTTAGCTAATTTCAAATTCCTGTTGCTTTCTATTCCCTGGTGTCTTCAACAAAAATGTCGTAACTCGGCCTGTTCTAAATCCCCTTACAAGATTATGCCCATAGTAACAAGTCGTCCTGTATATCCTTAAGCTATTCGTATGTTAGTTGTAGTATGTCAGTAATGTACAAACGATTTGCAGCTCGTGATTCTTATCTTTAATTCAACACTATCAGTTGCCACACGGCTTAGGTTGGTGCCAAGGAATTTTTGCTGTGTTTTAAACAAAAAAATGGCACGCAATTGAACATTCTTATCACATTTTTGACTGCACGATTGGTGCGGTGACTGGACAACTGGCTGCCGTGCAAGGTGTCGCGGGTTCGATTCCCGCACGGAGCAACTCTTTGTGTGATCCACAAATTGTTGTTTCGGTTCTGGGTGACACGTGTATACATGTCAACTTGTATGTTTGTAAACGCACCTACTACACAGGAGAGAATCCTAGAGAAGTGCACAGTTTTAATAAAAAAATTTCGTATAGTACTAAAAAAAGGATATAATTTGGAAAGAGGATTTAATCTGTTGGAGCGGTGGCTGGGTAACCGGCTACCGCGTAACGTGTAGCGGGTTCAATTCCCGCACGGAGCAACCCTTTGTGTGATCTACAAATTGTTGTTTCGGTTCAAGATGACATGTGTATGTGATCTTGTATGTTTGTAAACGCACCCACGACCCAGGAGAAGATCCTAGTATGGCGCAAAGTTTTAAAAAAATATATATATAATGATGATTATTATACAATATTAAGATCAATGGTATCTTAGTTTTTCAAAATCTTTTACAAGTGTTATTTTATAATACAATCTGTACTATTACTCAGAATGTTGTAATTAAAACTCCAAATATAACTTAACTCGACCTTCAAGGGATCACAACTGAAACTTATATAGTGATTAGTATTAAAACGATGTATACGACGCTTACACTACCCAAACGCGGACAACTATATCGATAAATTAGTCATACTTTTGAAACGAAAATTCAATATGGCCCGTCTGCCATTACCCTAGCCGAAATTCTGTGCATGTTTGTTAATGAAAGAGATAGAATAAACGTATCAAACTTTCAATTAAAATATTAAACAGTTTGAACAAATTAATTGAGTCCCCTCAAACAACTTATTTTTTTGGGATAAACACGAAACGGAGGTTTTTTAATGTTATGTTAAGGTTGTAACGTCGAGTCGTTTTTTTTTAATACTGGCACTTCTTATTGTAGGTAATACATTGATATTATTTATTTTGCTTTTTAAATGATCATGGGCACACATAGCATGTGTTTTTTTAAATAGCAGAGTACGTGGTATTGTTCGACCATCGTTGTCACCACGACTCGCAATGCTACAGTCCGCGGCCGCCGCGTACGTGCGTACTTGAATATATTTAAATTTGGAGATGCCACCAGGATGAGGCAAGCGCATAGTCCACTACTATAAATGCCGTTAGTTTGGTACTAAGGGTACAGTTCACCGCTCTAAGCATCCCTGAACACACCACAACAACAAACCTCAGAAATGGCATTCAAGGTACGGACTACAGTTGGATATGTGAAGTGCTATACAGTGATATGTGAAACAGTGAAAAATATAACTGAAAAGTGATTGTGAAAATATTATTTAAAACGATTCAAGTTATTTCGAAGACACATTGTGTTAAACTTATTTCGAAGTTTTAGGACTTTCGATTGACACTTTCTTATTTTTCTTTTCAGTTGGTAGTACTCTCTTGCTTCCTGGCCCTCGCTCACGGTAGTGGGGTGCCCGCAGCTATCGCCGCTGCTCCCGTGGCCTACGCTGCCCCTGTGGCCGCAGCTAGGCTGGAGGAGTTCGACCCCCTCCCGCAGTACAACTTTGGATACAACGTGGCTGACTCCCTCACCGGTGACTATAAGAGCCAGACCGAGCAGCGCAATGGAGACCTGGTGCAGGGTCAATACTCTCTGGTGGACTCTGACGGCACTCGCCGAGTGGTCGACTACACTGCTGACTCAGTGAACGGTTTCAACGCGGTGGTGCGCAAGGAGCCCCTTCTTGCAGCTGCGCCTGCCGTCGTTGCTGAACCCGCTGTTGTCGCTGAGCCCGCTGTTGTGGCTGCTCGCTACGCCGCTGCACCTGTAGCCGCTCCCGTAGCTGTTGCTCGCTATGCCGCCGCTCCCGTCGCTGCCCCTGTCGTAGCTGCCCGCTACGCTGCTGCCCCAGTAGCCGCTCCCGTCGTAGCCGCTCGCTACGCTGCCGCCCCTGTAGCCGCTCCCGTTGTAGCTGCCCGCTACGCTGCTGCTCCTGTAGCCGCCCCAGTTGTAGCAGCTCGCTACGCTGCTGCCCCTGTAGCTGCTCCCGTCGTAGCCGCTCGCTACGCGGCCGCTGCCCCAGTCGCCGCTCCCGTGGTAGCTGCCCGCTACGCCGCCGCCCCTGTAGCTGCTGCCTACAGAGCTGCCTACCCCGCTCCAGTGGCTGCTGCTTACGCGGCCTACTCAGCCCCAGTGGCTGCTGCGTACACTGCTGCGTGGTAGATCATGAACAACCCTCATAAACCGACGATAGCAAACCTCTAAAGACTTGAATTGTACATACTACTAGTTTTAGATAGTTTTGTTTATTATTTTTACAAAATGAAATAAATTTTTGAAATTGAAAGCATGACTTTTTTCTATAGTTATAGTTTTATATAGTTTTAAGCAATCACACCTTATTGTTGCGAGAAACGTCATTCGATGAGAATGTGTGATGATTATGACGGCAACAACTATCAACTCGGACTTTCAGTTAAATATTTTCAAGACAATATAAGTGTCCTAGCCATGACATGCCAGCAATCCTTTCATTTACATTAGTATGGAGTTTCTATCAAAAACCGATCTTATTCCACAGATTTTGGACTGAGGCAGGTTATTGAAATTAGCAGACAGTGATCAGAGTGGATGTTTTAGTTTGCGATTGATGTCTTAGGGTCGATTTTTCAATAATCAATTAATAACTGTAGAATAAAATTGACATTTATTAACTTTTATTATAGAAGAATTGTCAAATATTCAAACTTATTTCGCAGTTAAAATTTATCTGGCGTTGGAAAAATCGGCATAAACCTAAACTAAGCCAAAAGTTTAGAAAAGAATTCTATTTAAAAATCGACGTCATTAACTACATGACATAGCTTTCTTTTGTTGTCCTTGCCAACTAATTTTGCATCGATACCAGAACATAAACAGATTCAACTGACTACGAACAATATAATTATATAGAACAACGCTTGCGTGACAACGCCGACGTGACACAACGTGACACCGACGTGAAACAACGCTTGCGTTGTGTTTTGGCGTGTGAGTGAGGTTACCGAAGGCCTAACTACCCCCTCTCCCCAGTCTCCCCAATCCCCGAATCCCAACAATCCGCTAATTCCCAATTCCCAAAAGGCCGGTAACGCATTTGTAACGCCCCTGGTGTTTCAGATTTCAGACGCCGATTGCTTACCATTATATGATCCGTCTGCTCGTTTACCGAATGATCCAAAAAAAAAAAATTATGATACTGAAGAGACCTTGAAAGTCAAGCATTTTATTTTAACAAAATTCCATACATTTTAAGACGAGGTAGTTTTAACTTAGGTTAACTTAATTCAAAAACAAATACTTGTTAGAACCCGCAACACGTAACTGAGAAACTGATTCCTGCACTGTTTTAATCATGCTGTCAAATTAATTTAGGCTTGCGTTAGACAATTGCAACAATTTCGTCAATAATCCATTAATCATGTCAACGTTTTAGTCTTGATGACTAATAGTGTGATAATTAATATTAATAGTAATTAAATTCTGTCCACGACGGGCAATGAAAAATTGGGGTGTGTGTACCTTGACCTAAGTGTCAAATGGAAAATCTATTTGGAATTTCCTATGCTTATTACACTCTATTCTGCACTCTACAATTATAATTAGTTTATCTATAATGAGAAGGAATGATTTTATAAGTGAAAAGATGGGGTTGGGTGAAAAAGAAGAGACGACCAAATATGAATAAATATTATGTAAAAAAACTACTATGCACGGTGTACGTGGTAGTATAACGATTTTTAAGGGGAGAATAGAAAGGACATTATGGTGGCTATACTAAACAACGTGAGATAAGAACAGGGAGATGATGAATCAAACATTTGTAACAAATTTTGACATGCATTCATTCACCTTCTTCATGCATGCACCTTTGTTTCAGATTTTAGGCATTTAATAATTTTAAATTTTTTCTAGATGTGGGACATCTAGTGAACACACAAAATGTAAATAGATAATCAACTGATCGATAAAGTAGTTTCTAAGCTACTGTCACATTGTAACTCACTACTGAACACGAGCAACTATTAAGTAAAGCAATAATTTACAATTCTAACGTTCATGTAGAAGCAAAAGTGCCTATGGTGAAATGGTAACCAAAAATTTCATTATGTATGACAAAATTTCATTATGTACATTATTCTTATAATTGGTAATAAAGGTTCTACATATTGTATACCAATGAAGTGAAATGTGTGTAGGTACTGAATCTTGCCTTCAGCTTAACTTATTAATGCTATAGTCAATCAATAGAACATTATATCTCGAAGACATTCGTTCCTGAAACATTGCCAATATTGGCCGTCCATGATTACAACCTAATCCTGCACCATAATAATATGTTTGGTTATCTGACCAAATTTGTTTTATGATATAAGACTGGAAAAGTGGAAACAGACGATATTTTTGACAGAGTATCTTTTTTTTGAAAACGAGACCTTCAAAAGGCTTTATTGAAGAGAAAAAACTAGGGAGAAGGGAACTTAGTGAGATAGTAATCCCACACCCATTCCCACCGTGTGGAACTCGAAAACGGGTGGTTTTAGTGAGGTACCTGTGGCCATCATCATCACAATTAGGGGGCACCGAGTCCTCTATAATATACCTGCTCCTAATAGACTAGACGCCAATGGACACTCGCAATACGTTGGCCAGTTAGATATTGGACATATTTGGGGTTAACCCCGATTTGAGGGGAGGATTGAGTCTCGGCTTAGAACTGTCGTTTTTGCATTTTTCTGAAACTCATCTTTTTATTTACAAATAGCGGTGAAATTAAACCACAACACCACAGACAACAGACAGACATATCTGAACAATGAACAGACCCGGAAGCCTGTATGAATCAATGAAAGCCTACGACTGATACAGTTTCGTGAAACGTAACATGTATCGCAAGAGTCATCGGTGTCGCGTAATTCGTAGCACTTTCTTCAATAAGCTGTGTTGTATGTCCATCACGTACTTAGTTACGAAGTGCTCGATATATAACGCGAGGACGAGCATCAGGAACCACATTCCACTTCGAGGACTGTGACCATCCTATCCCACACATACAGACATGGACTCCAAGGTACGATGGTGCTAATTATTTATTTATTTTTTTTTATTTTTGGCTATTTTGTAAAGTTATGATTTTTTCTATTTTTTTGATACATTTTCTTAATTATTTAGTTTGATATAGTTTTCTAATTGTTTAGTTTGGTTTTGTAGTGGGGTTGAAAAATAAAATAGTGTTTCTGAAATATGATAATAAAACCATTTACTTATAATATTTCAGAAAGATATTTTTGTAATACATTCGAAAATCTAATAAGATCTAAGATAAAACTAATTTTCATAAATGATCGTGTCGGTCTTGGTCATCACGATATCATCTAACTCGAGCGTCGCACGCGCAGCTCGGTCATGCAGACTCGTGCGCGCGCGCATATTGACCAACACGATCCATATCGGGACACTTTGCGAAACTGCCTTCTTTCTGGCGCTTTCGATTCGATTCGCCCCTACACATAACAATGAACAGTGTACTTTAATATTTCTTTTATGAAAACCTTAATGAAGGTTTAATTCATGGTCAAGTACGAATATAAAAATCATCATAAAACGGAACAAGTTTTATTTTATTTTTCTGACATTTTATTTTTATTTATTGATAATTAATGAATAACCAATGCATTACAATTATTACGACCTTTACTTGCACTGAGATTTCGATAGATCATTGTATGTAAATAAATAATAAAAATAAAATAAATAATATAATATAATGCAAAGCTTTCGAGTATAGCATTATATTGTTGTAGCTAACAATGATATATTTCTAACAATAGTGGTCCCTAGGGATACATTTGCAGAAGCAGTGCTTTAATTGGCTTTTGTGTTTCGAAATGTTTAAAGCCATTTAAAAGAAATGTATAAAAAGGAAAATAACTCAATTGATTTATTATTTTCATACAAAAGACTTCAACGCGCGTGTTTCATTGTTGACTACATTGTAATAAGTTCGATTAGTCTTGTCATAAATATTTCATAAATGTCTCATTTAATATGTCAATGTTTTAAAACAAGGACAATTGATTTAAAATACGTAAAATATTTGTTATAACAAAATACGTGTGTCCCAAAAATACTGCAATTCAAATTAAACAAACACAAACTTCTACAACAACAAGAACTCAATTAGGATTCAGTCAAAATGCAGCCGCAGACTGCGCATACATTTATACTATTATCATTCCTGTCGCGCGTAGTTACGAAGAAAGGGTTTAAAACATGTCGCAAGGCTCGTGGACACCGCACTTGTAAACAACGCGACACTATATTGTTTCTCAATCGAATTATTATTATATAACGGATATATTGCGATATTAATGCATCATATTTATTCTACTAACGTCGTCTAGGAGAAATTGTTGTATTCATATTGGTTAGATAGTCATAGTGCCAAATTTACTACATAGTATCTGTTGTAGATCATGCGAAAGTCTATGTTTGTTCTAAATCATAATAAACAAATAGCAGAACAACTTGAGGCTTCTATTACATTCTTTCGACTAGCGTTTATGCCATTACTCTAGTGGGAATCGTTAGAAAATGAATTATTGTTCCTATTCTTACAAGAACTATGTTTTGTTTCAGATTGTAGTATTCATCTGCTTGGTAGGCGTGGCGAGCGCGAGTCTCATTGCTCCCGCTGTCCCCGTGGTCCGCGCGGATCCCTTACCTCAGTACTCCTACGGGTACGACGTACAGGACGCACTCACTGGTGACTACAAGGGTCACCAGGAACACAGGAACGGAGACCTCGTCAGTGGATCGTACAGCGTCGTAGACCCTGACGGCACAAGAAGGATTGTAGACTACACTGCTGATCCTCTTAACGGCTTTAACGCGGTTGTACGCCGCGAGCCCCTAGTCGTCGCAGGCCCTGCCAGGGTTGTCGCTCCAGCCCCTGTCGTCGCCCCGGCTCCCATCCTCGCCCGGGCACCCGCCCCTGTACTGGCCGCTGCGCCCGCGCCACTGTTCGCCCCCAGGCTACCTCACCCCTACTACTTCTAGATGAATTATTACAATTTTGTTGTTGATATCTTTACTATTAGGACCTTTTTATACTATTGTTATTTATGTACATAAACACTTTTTGATACATTTACTTGTTGTTGTTTCATTGAATTTCAAAATAAAATTACATGCCGTAAGGGGCATACACTACGCATAGAAGTATTGCAAGTTGCAATATTCACATTCTATAGTGATGTTACTGTTAGCCACGGCTTAAAATGTTCTTTCCAATCTTATGACCACAGCTATGTAGGAATACAATATATACAATTTCATGGTTTATGTGTTCTAGAGGTAGTGTTAAAATTTACTATGGCTAGTGGCTACACATATTTACATGATCTCAATCAGAATGTAATAACTTAGGTTTCATTGACCATACATATAATTGTGTTCTGATAAAGTTACTTTTTGTACAATACGAGTACAATGAAAGCATACAGTTCGACAAACGCATTATAATGTGAATGTAGTTTTATAGAATTTTGATTACCTGGAAGTTATGTTATGTGATTGCCAACTTTTATACACATGAGATGGTGCTGAACGCTCTGTACCGGGCGGCGCAGGACGCAACCGCTTGCCTTCCGCTGAAGATTGTGACCTTGCCTTGGTTATCCACCTCAATTAAAAGCGAAAGTTTCAATAAACTGTCATACACACGAGGTTCGATTACCGGACCGGATTCGTGACGTCACATAAATATGAGCCACGAGTGCACGCGCGTTGAATATAAAATGAGAGCGTGCATTGAAGACGGCAGTTCTAGGCCTCTGTTGAACATTACCACTACCTAAAATGGCATTCAAGGTACTAACCAAAAAGCTACTTTTTATTTAACAACAATTTAATTCTTTGTATTATTCTGTGTTTAATTATATTTTGTGTTTTAAACAGTTTGTCGTCCTGTCTTGTCTGGTGGCTGTGGCGAGTGCTGGCCTCCTACCAGCCGCTCAAGTGTCCTACTCGGCTCCCCTTGCCTACTCCAACCACGCCGTGCAAGCCGCTCCTGCGTACTATGCCGCCGCTCCCGTGGCCAAAATTGCTGCACCCGTGGCATATGCTGCCCCCGTCGGCAAGGTCGAGGTCTACGACACCAACCCCCAGTACAGCTTCTCTTACGACGTACAGGACGGACACACCGGCGACTCTAAGAGCCAGCATGAAACTCGTGATGGTGATGTTGTGCACGGCTCCTACTCCGTGGTAGACCCTGACGGTACCAAGCGCACTGTTGAGTACACTGCTGACCCCCACAACGGTTTCAACGCTGTTGTACACAAGGAAGCCCTCGCACACGTCACTAAGGTCGTTGCTCCCGTTGCCAAAGTGGTTGCCCCCGTAGCTTACCACTCTGCCCCAGTAGCGTACGCTGCTCCTATCGCCAAATACGCTGCCCCTATTGCGTACCAGTCCGCCCCTGTAGTGCACGCTGCTCCAGTGGCTTACTCATCGGCTCCCTACTACCACCACTAAGTTATTATTAAATGATAAGCTTGAATGCCATACTTAATGTAAATAAATATTTATTGTACAGATACAACTTGTTTGATTTTTCTTGATATTGAAATATTATTATGTCTCTGTCTATAACTTTTGCATTTTAAAATGCATAATAGGATAATCATATATTATTTAATTTGACAGTAGTGATTTGTATACAGACATGATATCAGAAATGATTCAACAAAATTGCTATTACAGCAAATATTAATTAAATAGTAATTTATATGTCAAATAATTGGTAACCGGCTACATCTGACTTGGGAGCTGCGCGTAGTTCTTGTTCAGGGCCGGGGACTACGGTTAGACCACGTTGACGACGCCTCTTACGTTCAGAGCGAGTATCGCCAGCAACATCCGACCGCCGTGGCAATACGGAGAAGCGTCGGCCGACAGGTACGGTCGACATGCGCTTAAACAGCACCTGTGTCTCTACACGCGTCTCTGGGTCCATCACTGCCATGATCTGTCGTTCACGCGTCGTTATAGCCTTACGGTCATCTCCTGTAACTGTTTCCATGGCCATTTCTGCGCATTTTGCCAGGAAAGCTTGCACTCTCTCTGGATCTTGCAGCTTTTTAGACCACTCTAAAGCCTCTTCGACTTCTATACGTACTTCATTTGCATTGCCTTGTTGCATGTCACCGCTCATTAAAATGAAGCAACCATTTAACCACCAAGTTATATTTCCCAATTCTTGAGCCTCTCTCTGGCACCGTTTAGCATAAAATTTTGCGAGAGCGAAATTCTTTTGCATGGAAAGTAACCTCGCAAGTTCATACATTAACCAACATTTCATAGTTGAATTTTCACACATATCCAAAGTCAACATAACTTTTTCAGTGGCTTGTTTAATATCAATGAACTTGTAAGGATAATTCGCCATAACAGAATCGAAAGAAGTTGGACGGCCAACAGGTAGGCCCATGAGGAATGCAATACGGCGGCGATTTCCACGCTCGCTGAGTGTGTAAGACAGACGATGTTGTGACAGATATCCTTCTCCTACTGCTCTGTACAAACGATCAGTATAAATTTCTTTGTCCGGTAACGTTCTCGGAGTCTTTACATCAAGGAACATTTGCATGCGCTTCGCTTGTGACATAAGATCCATGACGCGATGTTCACGCATGCTCTTTTCAATCTGTTTCAATAAGCGCTCTGCAGTCTTAGCTCCAGTTTCGCGTTCTTGGATAAGGACAGCCTCCTTGTACTTGGTCTGGTGTTTAGATTCCGCTTTTTCAGCTAATTTAATTGTGTAGTATGGTCTCTGTGCTCGCAGCATCTCTTGTCTTTCACTGAGAGATCGTAAAGCTTCTTTTACAAGTTCTCTTAGTTCCTGACTTCCACCTGCATTTGCGGATATGAGACGAGGATCGTCATATAACTCTTGAAGGAAAAATTTATCGTAAGCCATTGGTCCGAGATATTTCATAGCGAGTACTCGAGCTAAGGTGCTATGCTTACGTGCTTCCATTTGAGTTAGCTTTCGTTTACGTTCCATTTTAGGTATACGGCTCACATGTAAAACTTTTTGAGGCTCATTTTCATCCGGACGTGCTGCTTCTAGTTGTTTAATGAGTGGCAGAAAGTCTAACATAACATTACCGGCGTTTATTCCGATACAATCTTGAATAGTTTCAACTCCCTGATTGATGCCTTCCATGAAGTAAGGTGGTTGGCGTCGAAGGCGAAGTCCTCGAAAATTCATAACGACAGACCGTTCGAAGTCAGACATGGTATACATGGCACGAGACTGCATATTGCGTGCGTTCATGTTGCCGGGCGATAGTTTGAGCGCCAGCTCCGCGTCAGCGTATGCTTGTACAGGCCGCACGGCGTCAGCGCATACCTGACTGCGGCCCGTCAGTGTGCGCACATCCTCGGAGTTACTCTTGAATGCTTCATCATAGGAAGCTTTCGCCTTCTCAAACTGTTCGAGTCGACGTAAGTAAGCTCCTCTTTCACGATATACCGTGAGAGCGCCATACAGCTGCTTTTCCTCCATTGTAAGTATAGCGATATAAAACAAACCTCTACAAATTAAAAATATTTCAAATTAAAAGTATTTATAAAAATATACGTGTTTTATAAAATGTGTCTTTTGACAACGTCAAATGATACGAGTCAAGTCTGTCAAGTCTTCTGTCTAAGTTCCAAAAAGTAATAAGTAGAGAGGAACTAAGTCCCGTTTTTCTAAAAATCTATGATTTTATATGATAAACATTTTTTGTAAGAGTTTAGGTGTTCGGTGTAAACCCGAACACCTGCTTGCGAAGCAGTTTTCATGTATTGTCCTAACATGAACATACGACACGTTAGTGTACTTGTCGATCGCGAACAGAACGGGTGCATTCATCATATAACAAAACATTAACATTTCTAACATTTTTTAACATTAAACATTAACATTAAGAAAGTGCTTTGAACTCCATTTGAACAATAAACTTTTACGGTCACTTATGCGTTTGATATCTACCTACGACCTTACACCCCGTACATAATGGTCCTTCGAGCCGGATCTCTCGCGAGCCGAAAGTGAACGCGAGTGTGGTGTGAACTTTGTAAGTGCGTATTGTGAGGACTAAAGTGATGTCCAGCGCTGGTGCTCGTTCCTTGGCCATCGGAATCCTGACGGTGGTATAACAGCAAACAAGTAAGATCTTTCCATTATTAACTCTTGCTTTGGAAGACTTACGCAGTTAACTTAAAAACATGGCTGAGTTATACGATTCTCAATTAGCTCTCGCCATTAACATTGAAAAAATCGGTATTAATCTAAAGAAAAACAACTCAACAAAGACGAACATTTGAATATCTTAAAAGATGTTTAAATAATTTAGATGATTACTGGAAAGAATTCCAGTACAATCATGATCGCCTTACTACGGAAATAAGCTCGACGCATGCTTATTTTACAAAACAAGAATTTGAGAAGACTTTAAAATCGTATAAAGCTGTGAGAACATTAATCAATGAGATGCAACAACAGTTGCTGGAAGCTCCGTCTGGCAGTGGAGGTCACGAGCAGCCTACCGAGAGTATTTCGTTAGAAATGAAGTCGGAGACGGAGCAGTTATCAACAGAACAGCAGTCGAGAGAAGAACATAAAACAAAAGCATTTAGCTTAACAAATCGTCCCGCATGGCAGGTGAATCAAGGCACAAATAACAAATTAAACGATTTACTGCGTAAGCAGGCAGCTAATTTTAAAGCTTTTTCTAGAACTGTCTCAAACATTAATTTAGAGCATATTTCGGACAAATGGGAATTTGAAGATATTCTTAAAACATTGCAAACTAGGTGGTCTACAATAGATTCTCTTCACTGGGAAATTGATTCTGAATTAATTGATCAAAACGAAGAATACGAAGAAAGTTATTTATCTCACGAAAAGCAATTCAACACTTTAAAAAAGGCAATTAATACTAAAATGTGGTCTGTAGTTCATAGGGAGAAGTCTACCCCTAAACTAGAAATACCTACTTTTCACGGCAATTTCAACCAATGGATGTCCTTCAAAGATTTGTTTCAAGAAGCCATACACAATAATCCTGCGCTTTCGAATGCCCAAAAAATGCAATTTTTAAAGGGCAAGGTCAAAGGCGAAGCCGAACGGTTAATCCAACATTTATCTATAAGCTCGGATAATTATTCTGTATGTTGGGACATTCTGCAACACCGATACAACAATAAAAGGGCAATATTCTCTGCCCACTTAAATACAATCTTAAGCCTTCCTAACATGCAACAGCAATCATTGCCACAAATTAAGAAAATACATGATACAACATTAGAATGCCTTAATGCTATTCGTAATTTGGATATTGATATAAGTACGTGGGATCCGATGGTAGTCCACATCTTATCCCAAAAATTGGACTTTGATTCCTATTACGACTATATTGAGTCACTCAAAAATTCCCGAGAGCTACCGATTCTACAAGAATTTTTAGATTTCTTGGAAACTAAATTTATTAGTTTAGAATCAGTTCGTCGTAAACAAGATACCTCCCACCATAAGAGTGGTTTTAACATTTCGTCTCAATCATCAACAAACTTTAAGAAACATAACTTAAATCAAACATTAAACAAACATAATTATGAGAACCGCGAACATCAAACAAAATCGTTTCACGTGTCCAGGATCAAATGTCCACGTTGCAGCGGTGAACACGGATTGTACAATTGCAAAACTTTCCTAGAATTGCCTTGTGAACAAAAACTTGCAACGGCAAGGAAATTGCAAGTGTGCATAAATTGTTTGTTTAGCCATAATGGGAAACAATGCAATTCAATAAAACAATGTCGCAAATGTATGGCTCCTCATAATACATTATTACATGACGCTTTTATTAAGTCAACCTCTCAAGTTACTAAAAGTGATACGAACTGTGGGAAAGTATCGAATGCTTCCCAGGATGGTAACACGGAAATTTTGCTTGCAACAGCGCTTGTAAGCGTAATAGCGGCTGATGGTACTTACCATGTCATGCGAGCTCTTATCGATCAGGGCTCGCAAATCTCATTGATAACAGAAAGGGCTGCTCAGATGTTAAAAATTAAGCGTCAAAAATGTAAAGGTACCGTTCTCGGAGTGGGTGAAAAACAAAATACCTGCAAAGGAATGCTCAACATAACATGTAAATCAACTAACAGCGACTATAAGTTCTCAACACAAGTTCTAATTATGAACAATCTCCTCAAAAATCTCCCTAATCAAACATTTAACAAGCCCTCCTGGTCTTTTATTGAAAGCATACAATTGGCGGACCCTGAGTACTATATAAGTAAACCTGTGGACTTGCTACTTGGGGCCGAAGTCTATGCTAACATTCTCATGGAAGGTATAATTAAGGGATCTGACCCATCCCAACCTATAGCTCAACAAACCCACCTCGGGTGGATATTATGTGGGGGCACTAACAAAACATTTCGGTGTAATGTTGTCTTACATGATTTGGAGGACATACACAAATTTTGGGAGGTAGAAGAAATAACAGAGCCATCAAACATGTCTGTGGAAGAACAAGAAAGTGTCTCCTTCTTTTTGAAAACTACAAGCAGAAAGGAAGATGGACGATACGAAGTGCGTTTGCCCATGAAAGAAAATATAGAAAACAAATTAGGTTCATCAAAGCCAATGGCCTTGGCACAGTTCCGAAGCCTAGAGCGTAAATTCCAGCGCTCAGAAACATTGTCACAACATTACAAAACATTTATGAACGAGTATTTAGAATTAAAACACATGAAATTAGCACTTAACAATAACATTACACCAGACTGCTATCTACCGCACCATGGTATTCAACGGGAGGAATCAACTACCACGAAATATAGAGTAGTTTTTAACGCGTCCGCTCGCACATCAACTGGGTACAGCCTCAATGATTTAATGCATAAAGGACCTAACCTCCAACAAGATTTGCAATTGTTATTACTCAAGTGGAGGCAATATCCATTCGCATATACCGCTGACATTGAAAAAATGTATCGGCAAATTCAGGTAAGCGAATTGGATCAACATCTGCAAAAAATAATTTGGCGAAACAATTCTAATCAACCTATAAAATCTTATCAACTTACTACAGTAACATACGGAACAAAGGCAGCGCCATTTTTGGCTTTAATGACATTAAAGAAACTTGCTGCTGACGAACAAAAAACATTCCCGGATGCATCATACATATTAGATAACAATTGCTATATGGATGACGTGGTCCATGGGTTTCATTCAATTGAACAAGGGAAAAGTCTATTAAATGACTTAATTTCGCTGTTAAAATCAGGAGGATTTAACCTACGAAAATGGGCTTCCAATGAACCTCAACTGATCGAACACTTACACCAACCAAAAAATGAAGATACAATCACAGACGTTGTATTTAATTTGAAATCAGAATCTACTTCAAAAACTCTGGGCCTTTGTTGGGATACAAAAACAGACAATTTTTTATTCAGATTTGATTTTGCTAAACAATTATCTAAACCAACAAAACGCAACTTATTATCCGAGATATCAAAGCTATTTGATCCGTTAGGATGGCTAACACCATTATCAACTAAATTAAAATTACTTTTCCAAAAATTATGGAAGAATAATTTACAATGGGATGACGAAGTATCGGATGACATTATTAACGAATGGAACTCTATTAAGAAGGATATTCACAATATACGAGATTGTGAGATACCAAGATGGTTTAGAAATAACAAAAACGATATTATCGAAATCCACGCATTCTGCGACGCATCAACGGACGCTTATGGATGTGTCGCATATGCACGTATAAAACATCAATCAGATGTAATAATTATAGCTGCTAAATCAAAACTTGTACCGCATAAAAAGGCCTTAACAATACCGAAACTAGAACTGAGCAGTGCATACTTACTATCTAAACTTATATCTAAAATACAACAATCAGTAACAAACAAGCTAGAAATATACGGATGGTCCGATTCCATGGTGGCTCTCAGCTGGATTAAAGGTGATCAAAATCGGTGGAAGGTATTCGTAGCTAATAGAGTGGGCAAAATAACAAAAGTAATACCTCCTGAACGCTGGCATTATGTAAAAACGTCGGAAAATCCAGCAGACTGCGCCAGCCGTGGTCTATTACCTTCGCAGTTAGTGAATCATAAGTTATGGTGGCATGGGCCACAATGGCTACAAAGCTGGAACCCAGAAAATGAACCTGAACATCAACAATTCGAAAATTATGAAGAAGTTAAGATTTTTCAGAAACAAATAAACATTGTACAAGAAACAACTCCGAACATTATCGAACAATTATTTGATAGATTTAACAATATAAACAAAATAACAAGAGTGTTAGCATGGATACGCCGCGCTATCATTCCTAAACATCATCGTAAACAACTACCGGACTATCTCAAATTGCAAGAGTTACGGGAAGCGAAAACAATTATGATAAAATTTATGCAAAACAAAGACTTTGGAACAGATATAGAACATTTACATAAACAAGGTAATGTAGGATCTAAAAGCCTGTTACTTAATTTAAATCCATTTATTGATTCGGATGGATTATTACGCGTAGGTGGAAGACTAAAACATGCCAACATAAACGAGGAGAGGCGACATCCCAAAATCGTTCATCATAAAAGTCGATTAGCAGAACTTCTTATCAATGAAGCACATCTACTAACATTTCACGGTGGACCCCAAGTGACTTTAGCTAAACTGCGACAAGAATATTGGATAACGAGGGGAATCAATACTACAAAGAAACAAATAAGAACATGTATCATTTGTCGAAAACATGATACAAAAAGACAACAACAGCTAATGGGTGACCTTCCTGAGGAACGAAGTAACCCGGCGCCTCCATTTTTCCACAGTGGCGTTGACTATACGGGCTTTGTGGAAATTAAAGCCAACAAAGGGCGAGGAGTTCGAACAACCAAGGGATATGTGGCGATTTTTATTTGTATGGTCACCAAGGCCGTACACTTAGAACTAGTGTCCGACCTAACAAGTTCTGCTTTCCTGGCTGCTTTAAAGAGGATGGCAGCTAGACGAGGAGCTCCACGTCACATTTATAGTGACCAAGGTACAAACTTTGTCGGAGCTAATAACCTATTACAACAAGAGTATCAACAGTTAAAACAAATATTTAATGACAAGTTATTAACAGAAATAACAGAATACAACATCGACTGGCATTTCAACGCCCCTTCTTGGCCCAGCGCAGGGGGTTTGTGGGAAAGAGCAGTCAGGAGCCTCAAGTTTCATTTGAAGCGAGTCATTGGTGAGCAAAAACTCACATTCGAGGAATACTCCACAATCCTAGCTCAGTTGGAAGCATGCCTCAACTCTAGACCACTGTGTCCTTTATCAGAAAACATAGAAGATATTGACTGTTTAACTCCAGCTCATTTCCTAACAAGCCGAGCAGGTTTAACAATTATCGAAACAGAGAATGATGCAAGGAAACGTTGGTATTTGGTTCGTAAAATATCTGAGGATATTTGGAGAAGATGGAAAACAGAATATCTCTGCCAATTAAACGTAAGAAGTAAATGGTTGAGACCAAAGCCGAATTTAAAAATAGGTGATTTAGTTATACTTCAGGAAAACAATATACCTACTGGAAAATGGCCTATGGGACGAGTGGTCGAACTCCACCCGGGTAAGGACGGCTTGGTTCGAGTCGTCTCACTAAAAACTAAAAACGGAATCATAAAGAGACCCGTTATCAAACTTTCTCTGTTACCCATGAACGTGTCAGACGCTAAGGAACCAGAGATAAACGAGCCAAAACAGCAAAGCTCAATCAAACCTGGTCGAATTAATTTCGCATCATTGGCTATGACCTTACTATTATTTATGAATATTAACAAACACTGTGCATGGGAGTTATAACATTATGAAAATAAGAAAGAAACAGTCTTTATATTTTGACTCAGTGGCTAAAATGAATTTAATTCGCGATAAATGGACATTAGTAATTTATTATGACATGTCGCCTTACTGGGAAGGAACAACAGCATTAAACAAACTAATATCTCATTTAGATAAAACTTGTACTACGACAGACAGTGCGGTATGTAAAATGATAGTACCACAACTCCAGCACGAGTTCATGGAACTACAATATTATAACACGCTTTTGATGACTCAACATTTCATCGAACACTCCCAGCGTCGGGGCCTTATCAATGGTCTTGGCTATGCAGCAAATTATCTCTTCGGAGTATTAGACGAGCGGTTTGCGGAACAATACACAAAGGACATAAACCTTCTAAAACAAAATCAAAATCATTTGGCAAAATTATGGAAAAATCAAACATCTATTGTAGAGTCGGAATATAACATCCTAAAAAGAACTAAAGAAATAATCCACAGACAACACAAAAATATAAACCAACATTTACTACAACTTGAGAAATTAACTAATAGCATTCAGCAAGCTGTGTCCAATATCAGTGAAGTTCAAAGTCAGATAGTAGCCGCCTTAACTGCCAATACCTTGCTGCAAACATTAAGAGGAAATCAAGAAACACTATTAGATACTTTAACAGATATACACCACGGCCAGTTTAACATGCATCTCTTAACACCTAAACAGCTGCAGCAGGAACTCAACGTGATTGCGGGCCAATTGTCTGATGACATAACACTACCTGGTGATCAAATAGATGTCACAAGCATTTATCACCTTTTACAAATAAAAACAAGAATCACTGAAGAATACTTCATATTTCAAATAACTTTACCGCTAATCAGTAGAGACCGGTACAAGCTCTACCGAGTAATACCGATACCCAAACAATTTGGAAAGAATATGACCACCATTTACCCTAAATCAGAATATATTGCCGTAAACCTAAAGAAAGACTCGTATATTCCCATTAACGGCAATGAACTGTCCGAATGCCAAACACGAGATGAAAATTATTTTGGTTTCAAATGAATCATTGTATCGACATCTTAACGTTTACATCTATAGGGTGAGACGTCGATGGAATTTAGATTTAGAATGTTATGACCAGTTGATATCACTATTGCTCCTAGAAAAAAATCCTCTAATAGTAAATAAGCGTTGGTAAATTAGAAGAGCGATCATCTGTGATACGCACATAAAGACGCATTTTATTTATTTTTTTATAATTTTTTCTACGTCAATAGGCACACCATGCATGGAACTGATAAAACCATTTGATTTTATTTATTCCATGATGTATGTACATATATGTACAGTTTTTACTTACTCATGTACATACATAGACGTAGACTTTAAGTTTTACAATTGTGATACAAATTCTATCTATTGCTTTACAGTTATTAACATAGGAAAATGTTCACATAACATAAAATTAATTTATTTTCGCGTCTGCCTATTTGTATAAGGCGATACATAAACCCGAAAAAAGACTTACGTATTATTTTCAACAATATGTAGTGTAATTTGTCCTTTTTACCGTGCGAGCGAAATCGCGAATGGATAACTTATTGCATTTGAAGTCGTAAAAAAATTTATTGGTCATTGTTATCAGTCATCCGTTAGCTTATGTTTACGTTCCATTTTAGGTATACGGTTCACATGTAAAACTTTTTGAGGCTCATTCTCATCCGGACGTTCTGCTTCTAGTTTTTTAATTAGTGGCAGAAAGTCTAACATAACATTACCGGCGTTTATTCCGATACAATCTTGAATAGTTTCAATTCCCTGATTGATGCCTTCCATGAAGCAAGGTGGTTGGCGTCGAAGACGAAGTGCTCGGAAGTTCATAACAACTGACCGTTCGAAGTCAGACATGGTATACATGGCACGAGCCTGCATATTGCGTGCGTTCATGTTGCCGGGCGATAGTTTGAGCGCCAGCTCCGCGTCAGCGTATGCTTGTACAGGCCGCACGGCGTCAGCGCATACCTGACTGCGGCCCGTCAGTGTGCGCACATCCTCGGAGTTACTCTTGAATGCTTCATCATAGGAAGCTTTCGCCTTCTCAAACTGTTCGAGTCGACGTAAGTAAGCTCCTCTTTCACGATATACCGTGAGAGCGCCATACAGCTGCTTTTCCTCCATTGTAAGTATAGCGATATAAAACAAATATCTCAAATTAAAAATATTTCAAATCAAAAGTATATAAAAAAATATACGAGTTATTTAGACTGCTTCTTTTGACAACGTCAAATGATATCAAGATATGTTACAAGTTACGCTACACTATGATCAAGACCAAGTCTGTCTAATTTTCTGCCTAAGTTCCAAAGGTAATGGGATTTTCTTTTTATATTTAATGGGCCGACATTTTGACCACTATCTCGCCTGGTGGTAAGCGATGATGCGATGATGCAGTCTACGATGGAACACGACGTCCCATAAGCAACCTATTCACTCGGGCCTTGAAGACTCCCCGGTTATATATACCCTTCAGGAAATATGGAATCTGACAAAGAATTCCACTCCTTAGCAGTACGTACAAAGAAGCTTGATGCAAAGCGCTTCGTGCGTGTGGTCTGGACATCTACCATGATTCATGGTATTCATGGTCCATGAATACCTTGTCTTTAGAGTAAGACGTCGATGGAATTACGAATATTATGAACCCTTTATATACCTAGTGTGTTTAATAGTGACCTATTGCTATTAGAAAAAAGAGCGCTTATCTGCGATATGCGTACTATACGCATATTATTTAGTTTTTATAATAACGTACAAATAAAACCACTGGATTTTATTTATTCCGTGTTATACATTATTATATATAGAGGTATTATGTAATTTTTACTTACTCACCTAAATAGACGTAGACTTTAAGTTTTACAATTGTGATAAAAATTCTATCTATTGTTTTACAGTTATTAACATAAGAAAACCACAATTAACATAAAAAATGTTTTTTTTAATATGTGAATATTAAAAAAAAACATACTTTTGCGCCTGCCTATCTGTACGAAGGTACGAAGACGATACATAAACCTAAAAAGATTAGCGTATTGTTTTAAACAGTAGATAGTGTGATTTGTGTTTCATCATGCGGGTGAAATCGCAGGTGGATAACTCTTTGAATGATATTGCATTTAATGTCGTAAAAAATTTATTAGCAATTGTTGTCAGTCGTCAGGAACCGGAAAATAGATGTCTAGACTGCTACAACGGGTGCAGCAGCAGGCAACGCGAACGGTGCGGCGGCATACCGGGCGAATGGTGCGGTGTACGCGGCAGCTACTGGCGCGCTGTATGCCAGACGGGCTGCCGGGGCGGTGTACGCTGCAGTGTAAGCGACAGGAGCGGTGTAGCGTGCAGCGACCACGGGAGCAGCAGCGACTGGAGCAGCTGCGAGACGAGCTGGCGCAGGCACAACGGGAGCTGCAGCTACCAAAGGTTCTTTGCGCACCACCGCGTTGAAACCGTTCACGGAGTCAGCTGTGTAGTCAACTACTCGGCGAGTGCCATCAGAGTCCACCAGAGAGTATTGACCCTGCACCAGGTCTCCATTGCGCTGCTCGCTCTGACTCTTGTAGTCTCCGGTGAGAGAGTCAGCCACGTTGTATCCGAAATTGTACTGTGGGAGGGGGTCGAACTCCTCAAGCCTGGCAGCGACAGGGGCAGCAGCGACGATGGGCTCCGCGACAAGCGGAGCAGCCACAGCTGGAACCACACTGGCGCGGGCCACAGCCACCACGCATGCGAGGATGACGAACTGCAACGAATTGATTAGTCAAACTCCGTCAACGGTCAACACTGATGGCACTGGTCTCATTCAAAGTGCGACACATATGTTGTACTTGAAACAGTGACACAGTTTTGCGAGGGCGAGACTAGTGCGATTGCGTAAGTGTATGCGCGGAGAAATTACTAACAAGCCGAGGATACCTCGCTCGTCAAGGACACACAAGTGTCGTCTCCCGCATTTCAATGAGTTTAAGCAGCAGAGCAAAGACACTAAGTTGGCACTTGTTACTTTTTAATAGTGTAATGATGGAACTATGTGGACTACTACTAGGTACTTTACTGAATTAATAATAAAGCGTTTTATGGTAGTTACACTAATTATTAATATTAATGATATAAACGTCGATAATAGAGCCTACATGTCTCTATAGATCTCAATTTTGAATTTCGGATGATTTACTGCAAACAAGAATTACTTTTAAACTATTATCTCATTAAAATGTATGAAGTTGAGATAACACTGTTGTAATTGGCATTTACTTAAACTTAAATGTTTAAATTATGGAATTGGATGATTGTGATAAAACTTTTTAAGGATGTCAGTGAAAGAGAGAAAAAGTAAGGAAGTATGATGAGATTTACCTTAAAGGCCATTTTTGTTGATGAGGAGGAGTTGTGGAGTGAAGTCTTGTTCGACTATGCTCCTGTTCTCTCCGGCAAGGTATATATAGCAGCAGCAAGTTGTGACATCCCGCCTCAAGTTCGCGCTTTGTATTGTGCGTGCGCATCACTATGGATGTGCACGCAATTGGAAATGAGCTACAATTTGTCAATGGCGGAAAATTCGAACATGTTCTTGAATTTTGGCCAACTGTTATGAAATTTGAAAATATTTTATGATATTATGGAGCAAAAATTGTAATAATGTTGTCAGAAATAGGAAAATAACCTAGCTTTCAAGGAAACTTTACTAATCACACGACACATACACTTCACTACACCCAAGATATACAAAAAAAAATTATTGAATGTTAATAAATATTTTTAATGGAATTGGAGGCAAACGAGCAGACATGGACACCCGCAACACCAAATCCAATTCCACATTAAGAAGTAACTTAAGGTCCCAAATTTGATTAATCACATATAGACTTTAGCTTCTTCTATCATAACTAAACTCGAATATATTAGAATAAAACAGTGCCCAGATAAATCAAACCCATTCCATAGACTAGGTATAGTAGTCACTTATTTCCTTGATATGGTTTACCTACAAAATAATTTAACTGTAGAAAGGACGAGAAGAAAACTATAAATAAATTTCAAAAGCTGAAGCAGTAGAGGAACTACTATCTAATATTGTTTACAGGTCCAATAGTAGAACCTTAATTAAGGATCTGAATAGAATATAATAATTTCATCAATTATCACTTTGTAGAATTGGTGTAGTTCACCAATTCAAGAAGCAAAGTAGGTGTGTGTATTAGTAAAAGATCAACTATGTAAGCTGAAAAAGTGTAGCTGAAGACTGTCTTCCTTAAAACTGTTGTAGTAGATGGAAGTGTAAGTAGAAAAATAACTTTTATTGAAGAGTGACGTCAAATTCTATATTCCGTGGACGTCAAGAATGACTTTGACAGCATTACAAGAAAATATCTGCTGCCTCATTGGTCGAGTGGTTGCAAGTGCGACTGCCGGGCAAGGGGTCTCGGGTTCGATTCCCGGGTCGGGCAAAGTATTACTGGGTTTTTAAAAATTCTCAGTAGTAGCACGGAGTCTGGAATTGTGCCCGGTATATGGCAATAGGCTCACCCCCTATTACATGGGACTCATAACATAAATAGTGAAAAGTGGGTGTTACATTGTACAGTGGCATAATGTGTACCTCTGCCTACCCCTTCGGGGATAAAAGGCGTGATGTTATGTTATGTTATGTTATGTTACAAGAAAATATGAACTTAGATAATATTTTGGTCTTTGTAATCTTTTAAAAACCAGTGCCTAACCAATCCTTATTCGCTAATTTTTTATAACATAGTCGAGAACAAACCATGAACGTTGAAGAAATTAATCTGAACAACTATTAAAAGTATTTTTATCTTTAATGCAGCTATTATCTTTAATACACTCAACGGTCCATGTAAATAAAAGAGGGAATTATGTTCAATAAATAATTTTGATATTTATTATCAGTTCGTGATTTTCATCACACTCAAAGTTACAAACATTTAGTGGTGGTAGACGGGAGCGGAGTAGGCGACGGGGGCAGCGTGGTACGCGACGGGGGCGGAGTGGTAGACGGGAGCAGCAGCGTGCACGACAGGGGCGGCGTGGTAGGCCACGGGAGCGGCGTGGTAGGCCACAGGGGCGGCGACTTTAGCGACCACGGGGGCGGCGTGGTAGGCGACTGGGGCAGCTACCTTGGCGACAACGGGGGCGACCACTTTAGCGACGTGTCCGAGAGCTTCCTTGCGCACGACAGCGTTGAATCCGTTGTGGGGGTCAGCAGTGTAGTCCACGGTACGCTTGGTACCGTCAGGGTCTACCACGGAGTAAGAGCCCTGTACGACATCTCCGTCGCGACTCTCATGCTGGCTCTTGGAGTCACCGGTGAGACCATCCTGCACGTCGTACGCGAAGCTGTATTGAGGGTGCGCGTCGTATTCCTCGACGGCGACCTTGGCGACGGGGGCGACCACCTTAGCGGCGTATGCCAAGGGGGCAGCGTACGCTACATGTGCTGCTGGGGCAGCCGCGTAAGCGACATGGCCAGCTGGGAGCAGGCCAGCGCTGGCCGCCGCCACCAAGCACGCGAATACTACAAACTGAGAACAAAAAAGAAAAATAATTATTAACTTATTTCGTATATACTGTTCGTCATATCAAAAATAATTTTTTGCTTGTGACATTATTAATAATTAGAGGTGTTTTGATTTCATTTCCTTAAATGATAAAAATTAGCTTTAAATTCATAATAGGAGTTACGAAGTTCAGAACTTAGTTATTAACTGTGCGTCTTCCGAAGTTTAAATGACAAGACAAGCTACAACTTTTTAATATTATTCTTTTCAATTACCTTGAATGCCATTGTAGAAGTGTATCAAATGAGTTCTATTGAACGTATGATATGTTTTAGAATGATCCACGGCTGTTATATATGGATAAGATATTGCCTGAGGCGAAAGCTGTGGCACCGCGCTCCGGCGCCCACCCTACCGGTCGATGACTCGATCCGATCAATTAATACAATGTACCTTGTTTCGTTACAAGGACTACCACGCAAATTCTATTCACTAATTTGTATATGCCTTTGACATTTATTCAAGGTGTTAAAATCGAAACAATGCACTGGCACTCTAAAATTCGGTTGTAAACTATTTTGAAAATATTTCTGAGCCATTTGTTACAGGCGAAGTGCTTAACTCTTTGATGAATTTTAGTTAATCACCGAAATAACAGCAAAATCCTCGGTATTGAAGAAATGCATTACAACAATGAGTATGACACTTGTTCCAATTTAATTTGCATAATAAATGTTATGCAAAATGTACACTTTCTATGTATTCTCACATATCCGTGAATATGATGCTTTTGAAATATAGCCAGGTGATGTACTGCTTTTAGAGATGGATTAAGTAAAGCTTCGAAAAGAATTATAGGAATCTTTAGTCGACATAATATACCTAAGCAAGATTTGGACTGAAATCTACAACGAAAAACGTTGTCATGAAACAAATTTGTCAATCTGGAAATTATTGAGGGAGGTCATGTCTAGCAGTAGACGGCTTGTGTCTGACATGATAATGACGTTAATGAAACATAAAAATAACTATTCCATTCTATTTCATGAATTAGTACATTACTTAGAAGTTACTCTTATTATTCGCATGCCTATTATTACCAAATAATAATAAGTGCTGTTAATGGGAATATTATTATTATTACATGGGACTCATAACATAAATAGTGAAAAGTGGGTGTTACATTGTATAGTGGCATTAAGTGCTGTAATGTGCACCTCTGCCCACCCCTTCGGGAATAAAAGGCGTGATGTTATGTTATGTTATGCTGTTAATCGGCAATTCCATCTGCTCATGAAAATAAAATAACCAAACCAAGCTCTTACAATGAAACACCTAAAATGTTCAAGATGTATTATGATGATAAACAAGATGGCATAAAAATCAACTTGGAGTACAACCCACAAAAGTCTTATTAATTTATCACTAAAACATCTGTAGGAGCAGCTGTAAACATCTTATTTATGAATGGTTCATCATCACAAGTTCACGGTCAAGATTTAGAAACGGCCGCGCGTGAGCGAGTGCCTGACTGTTATGTAATACGTAGCGCATCTCCAACCACTAACCGGTAGAGCTTTATGTTACTGTAGGATGTTTATTTTATAGCGTGTCATATAATGAGTCATACGAATATCAATATTGTTGGTACGTTTGTTTGTTACTAAGGGAAATATAAGTAAAATATGTATTTAAAGAATGTATGATTGTAAGGAAATTAAACCACAAGGTATTCTGATCAAAGTCATCAAATAAGTCATTAATGTTACATACGCCTTGCTTTCGTCTAGGTAGCCTTGTAGTGCTCGCGGACAAGTTTAATATTACTTACCCAGCTTTCGCCGCGGGGCTACCTCACCCGTATATAATAACGCGTATGAATCTAAACTTATATCATTCGTTCAGTAGAACTCAATTGGTACACATCTCCTACAATGGCATTCAAGGTATAATACAATTTAAAGCTCTAGAAATTTATAAGAATAATATTAATTTCCCACATTTATTAAAAGTTAATTTAATTCATATAAAACCTTTTCAATACTTCAGCTCTTACCTAAACAATTGCTAATAATCTTTTTTTTCAGTTCGTAGTATTCGCCTGCTTGGTGGCTGCCGCCAGCGCCGGAGTGTACCCGGCTGCCCCTGTGGCATACTCCGCCGCCCCAGCCTACGTCGCTCACCAAGCGTACGCTGCCCCCGTGGCATACGCCGCTAAGGTGGTCGCCCCCGTCGCCAAGGTCGCCGTCGAGGAATACGACGCGCACCCTCAATACAGCTTCGCGTACGACGTGCAGGATGGTCTCACCGGTGACTCCAAGAGCCAGCACGAGAGCCGCGACGGAGATGTCGTACAGGGCTCCTACTCCGTAGTAGACCCTGACGGTACCAAGCGTACCGTGGACTACACTGCTGACCCCCACAACGGATTCAACGCTGTCGTGCGCAAGGAAGCTCTCGGACACGTCGCTAAAGTGGTCGCCCCCGTTGTCGCCAAAGTAGCTGCCCCAGTCGCCTACCACGCTGCCCCCGTCGTCGCTAAAGTCGCCGCCCCTGTGGCCTACCACGCCGCTCCCGTGGCCTACCATGCCGCCCCTGTCGTGCACGCTGCTGCTCCCGTCTACCACTCTGCCCCTGTCGCGTACCACGCTGCCCCCGTCGCCTACTCTGCCTACCACCACTAAGTGGTAGTGAAAGTTTGTTATTAGTACAATTACCGATATGATGAACTAAAATAAATAAGAATCTAAATTATTGAAAAATTTGTATCATTATGGTTTTACCTTAAATTAACGATTCCTTTCAATTCACCTTAGCCGAAAAATAAAAGGTGTTTTCTGGCTATAATTTAGGTTAACTTCTATTGAAAGAAATTGTAATGATTGATCAATTTTATAAGAATTTAGCTTGTCGTCTGTTATATCCTCAATCACAGGATCGCTCATACAATATTGTCAAGATGAATTCTAGGACTTAAATAATCACAGATTACACGTAACAAGATATGAAATAATGACATTAGTGGCTAACACACAAGAATTGATAAGGTGAAAATTAAAACTTTACGTGGAATCTTGGTAGTGGTGCGCACTCGAGGACTTTTAATAAGAAAAGATTACAATGAAATTAAAAAAAAAGCGTAAGGTAAATTAAACTAGTTACTATTAGTTTTACTTGGAACATAAACAATTTCAGCACTCGCTTATCTCTTACAATAATTGTATTTTTTTTTAATTGAATTCAATTCAAGATTTGCTGACCACATTGGACCATACTTATACAACAAATTAAATAAAATCCTAAACATCTACCCACTAACCAAAGTAGAATGTAAAATAAAACGAAAAAAATATCTACAAAAACTAAATTACGAGGAAACTGAACAACTACTGAACAAATTAATGTGAGATAAACAGAAGCGCGCACACACCCACAAACACACACACACCCTCACACACACACACACACACACACACACACTTACACATAATGGCCAAAATAGTTAATATCTGCGTTGAGAAAGTCCCTTTTGTTATTGTTATTATTTATCTTGTAGTAATTTTTTGTATTAATTATTATGTTATTACTTTTTATCTTATTCTTGTTATTTTTCTTAAAACAAAAATTAATATTGTATAACTGACATTGGAAAGGCTGAAATTATCTGTACGTTTGAGGGTTGGGCACTGATAGTCGAAATACAGGCAATGCCTAGTTCGACTACAGAAGCTAAAATCATATACCTGTAAAAATATTGTAGCCAAACTATTGTTGATATATTGTATTAAGTGCTTAAGAATAAATAAATTATTATTATTAATTATTATAATTCAATTGAATGAAATTGAATTTACCTAAATCTGAAATGACCAAAGTGTCTTATACTGTTGTCCGATGTCTTTGTACAGTGTATTGCGCCAATGAACGTAAAAAATGCAAAGTCAAATTACTTATAATTAACAATCGAGTGCACCTTAGTGTATGTCAGTTCTAGTAGTAAGTATGTCAGAATTAAGATATTTTTTTGGGATTACCTTCTATATATAAAAAAAGTTTATTACAAACTACTCACTGTCACGATGATAACTATTTATTATAATTTAATGTTAATATTTCTCATGTAAGTGAATTTTTATGGGAATGAGCGTATCTCAAACCTCATCTTCGATTGGGTAAATTGTACGAGGATAGATATTAAAAGCTTGTACCATAAATGTATTAATTCTATCATAAACTGAAATACTTAGTCTAGGTAGTCTTCTGGGCACATTCTCAATGGAGAGTTATGCGGACGAATTCTTTGACGTAGGCGTCACTGACTGAAGGTTTTTTCGTTTTAGTTATTTTTTACTGCCTGCCTGCCTCATTGGACGAGTGGTCGCAAGTGCGACTGCCGGGCAAGGGGTCTCGGGTTCGATTTCGACAAAGTGTTACTGGTTTTTTTTTTTTAAATTCACAGTAGTAGCACGGAGTCTGGAATTGTTTCCTGTATATGGCAATAGGCTCCCCCCTATTTCATGGGACTCATAACATATATAGTGAAAAGTGGGTGTTACATTGTACAGTGGCATAATGTACACCTCTCCCTACCCCTTCAAGGATAAAAGGCGTGATATTATGATATGTTATGTTATGTTAATTTTTAGTTGTACATATTTATTTATAATTATGTTATTGAAGTTAATTATGAGAAATTATTGAAATGTCAATGTGTACATCTTCAACCTACCTAATGATTGCAGATATAATCATTAGCTTAAACATTGCGGCGAACAAAAACTTATGGACAATTGTCTCGTTCATCTAGGAGGCACACACAAATAAAGAAAAAATCAAAATCAAGAAGAGAAGAAAGAGAAAAATAAATTGTTAAACTTCATATGATATAAGGGTTAAAAAATACTTTTTAGGTTCTATCATCTCTTAAGTTATTAAATTATAAAATAAATAGATTTAAGAGGCCTTAAAATCTATCAACTGCCTTGTTCCTCTAAAATAAGTGTGAATTTTGACAAAAATGGTGTCGTGGATTCATAGTATGTTTGTGTTTATATTTTCCGTTTTTTTAATACGAAATTTCATTAAACTAGTACTCAGTATTTAGGCCCAATTAATGACTACACAATACTTCTACATAGGCATTATATTTATTACCGTAGAAGCGGATCCGGGGTCGTGCGGTCCATGGCCCTCTACGGCGCCCCTGTTTGGGCGCCGAACTTGTTGCGGCGTCCTGCTCGGACGCTGCTCATGCCACAGAGGGTCATGGCGATCCGAATGATCCGCGGATACCGCACGATCTCCGGGGAGTCGGCGAACCTCCTTGCCGGATCACCGCCGTGGGATCTGGAGGCGAAGGTGCTCGCGCGCGTGTATCGCATGCGCGCGGAGGCACGTCGCCGGGGCGAAACTCCTCTGCCGCGCCAGATAAGTGCGTGGCGGGATGAGCTCCGGCACGATCTCATGGCGGAATGGCAGCAACGACTGTCGCAACCGAGGGCTGGGCTCGCTGCCATTGCAGCGGTAAGACCCCTCTTTAAAGAGTGGCTTGAGAGACGCTACGGCGTCCTCACCTACCGCCTGACGCAGGTCCTCACCGGACATGGAAGTTTCGGGAGGTACCTGTGTCTGATGGGGCGGGAGGAAACGCCCGGGTGTCATCACTGCCAGGACCGCCCTGAGGACACGGTGGAACACACCGTAGCGGAATGCCCTGCGTGGGCTGAGCACCGCCGTGCCCTCGGGGAAGTGATCGGCGATGGCGACCTCTCGCGTCCGGGCCTAGTGCAGGCCATGATGCGGAGCGAGGGGGACTGGAATGCCGTCTCCTCCTTTTGCGAAGCAGTCATGCTAGCTAAGGAGGAGGCGGGACGCGTGAGGCAGCGAAGCGCTGCCTCCTCGCAACCCAGCCATCGCGAAGGACACACCGGGCGTCGGGGATCGCGGGACGATCTCGGGTCACCGTAAGCGCGGGCTTGCGGACGGCGAGCATGGGTGGCTCCCCGTCCGACCAGAAACAGACCCGAGCGTACGGCGCGTCGCGTTTCGCGCGCGCCTCAAAGAGCCATCAGACCACCACAGATGGGGCCCAATAGGGCCGATGCCGATTCGGAGTCGCGGAGAACCTAACGGGTAACCGGGGCTCCGGCTCGACGTACAGGAGAAGGAACGGGGTGGTTTTTAGTCAGTAAGAGTCTGACACTCCCTTCCGCCTCACCCAGGCGGGAGCAGTCATTCGATGATTTTCCCCCCTTAAAAAAAAAAAAAACCGTAGAAGCGGATCAGGAAATATAAATATTATGTTCCTTAAAAACGGTAACTTTACTGCTGCAATCTCCAAGTTGCCTGTCAAGCATGGGGATATGGTAAATTCTCCAATTAAGAGAGATAGGTTAGTGACTTCCTGGACGTCTTCTGGCTAGTGATGATGAAATACATATTATGTACATGTTTGTACATAGACAGCTAAGTACATAACTTCAAAACGAAACCCAAAACAGAAACAAAAGTAGGGATAGGTGTGATACAACGATGATAGAGGATGATAAAAATATAAAGTAAGTTCTTAAATAAAAAATATTCGTAAACTTCTTAGAAATATTTTATTTGCTCATGATCATAATGTCTAATGAAATAAATAATCCTTAATTTTCAGTTCAGGGTTTGACTAGGTATGGCATTCAGTGGTGGTAGACAGGGGCGGAGTACGCGACAGGGGCGGCGTGGTAGGCCACGGGAGCAGCGTGGTAGGCCACAGGGGCGGCGACTTTAGCGACCACGGGGGCGGCGTGGTAGGCGACTGGGGCAGCTACCTTGGCGACAACGGGGGCGACCACTTTAGCGACGTGTCCGAGAGCTTCCTTGCGCACGACAGCATTGAATCCATTGTGGGGGTCAGCAGTGTAGTCCACGGTACGCTTGGTACCGTCAGGGTCTACCACGGAGTAGGAGCCCTGTACGACATCTCCGTCACGGCTCTCGTGCTGGCTCTTAGAGTCACCGGTGAGACCGTCCTGCACGTCGTACGCGAAGCTGTATTGGGGGTGAGCGTTGTAGTCCTCAACCACTTTAGCGACAGGTGCGGCAGCGTACGCCACTGGGGCGGCGTGCACTACGTGCGCTGCTGGAGCGGCAGCGTAAGCGACCTGAGCGGGCTGGGCAACGTAACCCGCATTGGCGGCGGCGAAAGCGCAAACCAGGACTACCAGCTGAAAATAAACCAATAATTAATTAGTTAAAAAAATCAAAAATAACACAAAAAGAAAAAAATGCCGTATATTTGTAACTCTTTCATTTTGATGAAGATTATTATCAATCTGTACCTTGAATGCCATTTTAAATTGTGTGTATGACTTAACTATGAGAGGACCTCAAGTTGAATGTGCTGTAACAGTATCTCTTCGACTTTTTATATGCGGCCCAGCTGCCTCAGAATTGCATTACACTATTACGCCGGCGCGAGTTCATATGAACCGGTCGCTTTGCAGTGTTTCATAATTCAATCATACATTTAAGAAGTTGGGTGTCTACCGTATTAGTTCGTATAATATGTTAATAAGAGTAAGTGGGCTATGATTGATCTCAAGTATAAAGATCACTTGCATTGTAATACTCGTCGACTTTTAGGCGGAGCGTCCTTGCGACGACAAATGTTTGTCAATGTAAATTAAATTTTGCTGGAGCGAATCGTGTCACACACATGGTAAAATATTTTGAGTACTGGAAGCAAATATAGCACTTTTCTGAAGTTGAGGTTCCAGACCGAACCAAAAGTTTTAGAATTTTTGATGGCACGAAATCCTGGGCTCGTGTAAAGTGAAATATGATGTTTTCAATTAAAAGCGACTCAGCTTAAACCTGTTATAGGTGAAATAAGTTAAAATTCTAATATATGCCTGCAACTCAGATATCGCAGCATCGCAGCTATAAGTTATCTCGATAAACAGCTTATTTAAGTCACATGAGCCACAGATTAACATTGAAATGTATTAGTTCTCCTTGCTACGAACTTTCAATGTGGTCTATGTAACCAGTGTGAAAACAAAACTATTTAGAATTTGAATTAAATACTTGACGCTGTCATATTATTTACAGAGTCTCAAACTATTGCTATTGTACAACTATAATAGTGTGACGGTATTTTCGGTGATTTGTAAGTAAATTTCGTAGGTGAGTTCAAAAGGAATTAATATGTAAATGTAGCTGTTTTAAAGAATCTTATTTCATTCATCCTCTGATCCACACAAGTTAACACAACATAGTATGATGTTTTTCGTAGACCATTCTTACCACCAGGTGTTCCGTCTGCTCGTTTGCCTCATATTCCATAAAAAAGACCTTGTGCTACGAGAAGGCTACGACGATTTACGTAAACCAGAAACAGCTTTTGTCTACGATTCTCATAAACACTAGCTGATGATACTAACACTTCCATTTATTAATGTTTCTGGATAATATGTCCTACATTTCTATGGCAAAGAGGCAGACAATAAATATACGGAACACCTGATCAGTAATCAGGGCCGCCAAAGTACACCAGCAACGCCAGATAAATTCCCAAATGAAACCATATCACAATTTCAGTAGGTTCAAAATGTGGTGGATGCGACCGATGCGTTGTCTGCGAGGCGCTGGGTCCCGCCTGTACGCTGGTATGCACGACCCCCTCGACCACGTGACTGGTCTAGAGAAGAGAGAGCTACTCGCACACTTAGCGGGCGACTGTGATCCATTCCGTATTATGTCTATCAGAAAAGGTAATTATGATTGATTAATCTTCTTTGCTTATATCACGTATTTTTATTTAACTATTTACATTTAACGATTTACAAAGAATACAAAAGAAAAATAAAAATAACTATTTACATTTAAGTGTGAGAAAGCCATGCTTCGGCACGAATGGGCCGGCTCGACCGGAGTGATACCTCGGCCCCACAGAAAACTGACGTGAAGCAAGTTGTGTTTCGTCGTGTGAGTGAGGTTACCGGAAGCATCATTACCCCTCCCCTTCCCCAATCTCTGAATCCCCAACGATCCTCAAACTCCTAACTTTCCACTTGCATCCTTAATTCATTAAAATTATGTAAGACCTCCACCATCATCTTAATAATTCGACTCAAACTTAACATTCTCACATCAAAACTTCAACAGGTCCGGGTACCAGAGAGCGACCTAACTTGATCCCAAGTTCGAATGACAAACGTCTGGTGGCGTGCAGCTGCAGTCCATGCGACAACCACCTGGAGTTCATGTGGCTACACCTCGGCTGCCCAAAGAGGTGCGGCTGTGGGTACTGGTTTGAACTCTGTCCAGTAGCACCTCTTTAGATCTATTGTAATTATTAATTAAAGTATTGGTGACGAAATAATTGTTTCAGTTATTTTTGTAGATTTTGTGTTTTATGTTTGATATTTATCGAAGATTCTAACATAACATCATGCCTTTTACCCCCGAAGGGGTAGTCAGAGGGTGCGCTTAACTGAATTAATTCCACTGCACAATGTAACATTAACTTTTCACTATTTATGTTATAAGTTCCATGTAATAGGGGGTGAGCCTATGGCACTATTATATACTGGGCACAATTCCAGACTCAGTACTACCACTGAGATTTTTTTTTAAAACCCATTAATACTTTGCACGACCCGGGAATCAAGCCCGAAACCCCTTACCCGGCAGCCACACTAGCGACTTGATTTCACGTGTCACAAGTTATAGTCAGTTATACATCTATTTTTGGGGGGAAAATCATCGAATGACTTCTCCCGGCTGGGTTAGGCGTGAGAGAGTGTCAGACTCCTACTGACTAAAAACCACCCCGTTCCTACTTCTGCCCTTCGAGCCGGAGCCCCGGTAAACCGAAGTCTTTCACAGCTCCGTAGTTATAGAAGTACATCTATTAGCGAGGGATATATGTTTTACTAGTAGTACCTAGGTTTTAGTACTACATGCAGATAGATGAATTAATGGGTTTTTACATACCCTTCCCAGAAAGATGTATAATGTACGATACGTATACTTCGAACATTCTAACGCCCGAATACTGAAAGACTACTCAATATTAAGTTGTGCTTAATCGTGCCATTTCTGTCATTTCACAAATAATTGAATGTGACCGAAGTTGACAGACCAGACCTATACACCTGAGTAGCGTTTCAGTATTCGGGCATAAGTTATTCTACATAGATACAATAGTACACACGCCCTCCCCCCTTAGACTTTGGCATAATTGAATATGAATTTAAATACAATCACAATAACTCAGTACTCAAGCCTTACCTGTAACAGATTACCGATAGCATTGTTAAATATCTTCATGTAAGGCCTTGAATCTCACGCATTTGATAATAAGGCCAGTAGAATTTTGCTCATACTTAATGTCACTGCAATTTATTTAATCATCACCGAATATGTGCAAAATGGCCATAACTTTGCGAGTAAATTTGATGCAACAATATAAATTAGTTCCCGCGCATGTCTGTTTGGCCAAATTACCGACAATTTCCATGTACGCTACGAGCTCGCAAAATTTTTAAGAATTTTTAATTGACGAATCAACGCGAACGATCTGATTAAAAGGAATCGATTAATTTACTTAATGCTACGTAATTATTTTTTACTTACAAGTGTAGGGCATTACAAAACGCGAATATAGGACTACTCCTGTAAATCGCGAATGGGAACATAACCATAATAATGCGTGATGTTTTGTTTAATAACAATTTATTTAAAATAGTATTTAAATCTTAATTCAAACCTTTTTACGTCCGTTTAAAGAAATAAGAGAAATAACAACGAATTCAATAGAAAAATAACATTCCGGAACAACCGATAAACACAACTGAAGAGCTGTTGTTGTAGATGAACAATTTATTATTCTATTGTGTTTTAATGTAATTATCACGGGCAATGCAACATATTAGGCAAGTTCCATTAGTTGTAAGTGGGAGTTTGATCAAATAAAAAGAGTGAAACTGTATCGAGTGGAGCACTATTTGAAGCTCGCCACTATGTAATCCATTAGTGACGGCTGTCTGCCTCGCTCCGAACATATAATCGCTTGTTTCGAAGCCCCAACGTGTAAGGCCGCGCTGGCCCAGCCGCTGCGCTCACTCGCCGACCCACTTCCCGCGACCTTGAACCAGCTGATCCGGTGCACAACCCCGGAACTTTACCGTTTTTCAGTGATAATATTTACGTATTATATGCACTTTATATCCTTGTGTAGTTTCCTATTGTAATGTGACTGCAAGGAAGCATTAGGGTTAAATAAAACTAATGTTTTTGTTCAGGCTGCAGATCAGTGGTAGAAAAAATACGTCACTGTACAAGTTCAGCCTTGTTTTGTGTTTATTTTTTATCATTACTCATTTATGTCAACTATCCATTTTTTACGATTATACAAAAACATTCACAGCTAAGTTAGTACCTACCAGCTACAGTAATTACTCAATCTTTCTATTCTCTAATTAGGTACATTATTCACAGCATGTGTTTTATAGGCTCGATTTGAATAATACTTATCTAATATCACAAGGTTAGGATAAGAATTACATAATTTAGATATCAGTCTAAAATCTAATACTTATTATTATTTGCCGGTACAAAATAGTGCCCATTAAAAGGTAACCTGGGTTCTATTTCGGTTTGGGGGGAGAAATATATCGCGGTCTGTTCTTCTGCGTAGTGGGAGTGTTGTTGAGGGTGCAACACAGACGCGAACACTGGGCCGGGGTTAGGGGACTGGTACTGAAGGTCGTTAGCATCGTGGTAGTTGAAGTGAACTGGGGCTGGATTCGGTAAGGGTGGACTCACAGGATCCTCTCTCAGAACCGCTTTGAAACCATGCTTCGCATCAGCAGTGTACTCGACCGTGCGCTTCGTTCCGTCAGGACCCAAGACTGTGTAGGCTCCCGTGACGACATCGCCTTGCCTCACCTCGTGCTGACTCTTACTGTCACCAGTCGTTGGGTCCTCAATATTATACGAGTACTTGTAATCATTCGGTGAAGGAGGAGGATCCCTTACGATTATACCGAACACTGCTGGCACCACACAGACCACCAATGATACCTGAAACAACAGATTGCAAAATCAAAGATTAAGTTTATTAGTTACGAAATGTCTCTCGCAATCCCTGAAAGCACACAAGGTCTACACTAGAAACAAACAAGTTTAAGATGCAACGTTACACTGTGTATATGTTAGCCTGACAAACGATTGCACTTAGTTAGCGTCACAAACAATTAATTAAAAGAAATCAATAAAGTGACAATTACCCTTAACATGATGTAGAATAGTAGACTTGTCCAACAATAGGGTTCGGAGTAAATAGTACACGCGCGGCGAGTGCTCTCGTATTTATAGAAGCGGCGTGCATTCACTCGAATGTTCCTTATTGGAACAGGGCGGCCGAGTCGCGAGTCGCTCTCTATCTAACTAACGTGGACTTGTAATTAGAGCTTTATTACCTAATTGTTACGTTGTATGCTACGATCATTAGGTCCACAGTAGCCGCAGTGGCCCGATGAAAGTTTCACTGTTCACTGATTCTCGGATTAGTACATAAAATAGAGCCGGTAGCCATATTTGTTTACAATCTATTATTGTACTTTATGCATGTTTATGCTAACCTTTCTAATTAATACGTTATGAAACCTTACTAACATCTACATCAAACATCAATGATACCTACAGTTTTGTTGATTAAATATTAGGTCTACTTAACTAGGACTCACGAAGATATCATATTTAATTTAACGTCCATTTACAGTAACATATGTAAAGTTTTGTACTAAGTGCTATATGCAAATATAGCAGTTATTGGGCTATAAACTTTCATTTGTATACAATATTCAGCCATGATCTTGATTGCTTGAACCTTACACAGATCGTTCGAATTAATATCTCATTACAATCGCAATAATAATATTCATTTCTAAGATATATTACGGTTTCTTTGGGGTCATGGGCGGGCATAAGTAAGCATGTTATGTACCATTATCATTTGATGATTATTAAACACACAGTCACATTAATTGATATATGTTTGAGAAATTCATTAATCATAGTCCAATATTTGTTTGGCAATTGAAATATTGCCTATATTCTATTTATTCGTGGTCAATTTACTACAATTTGCTGCGTTTGCCAACAATTGTTTTATAAATATTCCTGATATAGATGTATATTTAGAACAGGACACCCACTGACCCACCTATATAGTGACAAATGACCTGACCTGACCCGATCCACAAGGTTAACAGATGGCCTGAAAAAGGTCACGGGAGGCTTTAGATGTAGGTCGCTTCCAATGTTTCAATCAGCCGACCTCAATGAGTTATTAGAAGAGGCCAATGTTCAGTAGTAGACATTTTGTCCCTAATGTGGTGATGATAGAGCACTTCTATAAATCTTAACGATTAGTTATCAAGGAATAGTGATTCTCTTGAAGTCGTAGTTAAACGTCAAAATCAGTCAGTTTTGAATTCAATTAGCATACGTAATCAATGAAGAACATATGAACCTATTCATTTTGTCATTGACTTTTTGCCTCTTAATTCATTATGAAATACATAAGAGGGAAGTAGCCCTTACAACCAAGTACAATTACCGCATAGTGGTATGTATGACGCAATTCTAAGTCTCAGTTCCACGCTTCTAACTCAATATTGTTACTACAATAATGTTTACAACACGCAGGTACAATAAAAGCAAAAGATGTATAAACATTGGAAGTACCGTGGCCTGAGGTAGCTATGTATATAGTCTTGCACATTTAGAAAAAATCAAAAGGAGATGGACTTTGTAGTAACAGAGGCATAGGTTTGTATTTGATAGCTTAATTCATTTTATTGGTTCTTCCATAAGAGGTAAAATAAAGTTGTTCCATTTCATAGCTTGAAACAAAACCTGTAAGGTCTCTGTAAAGATATACCTATTGTAGATAAATCTACTTATCTATAGTTTATTCACGACTCTACTATCTAGTAGTATAGTGTATATCTATACATACTAGGTATTAGATCAGTTCCGGGCGTTGTTGTCATATCAATTTATCTGTAACAGTATAAAATCATGGTCACACGACCAACAATTGTCATTGTTTTAATAACTATAATAGATATTATTATACATAGGATAGAATAGAGTAAACTATTGTACAACGTATAGATCTAAGAAACCTTTGAGTAGACGGGCGGTAGATTGATGTGATGTGAACTTATACTTAGGCTAAGATCGATGTAAAATGTTTGTAAACAAATCGGTTAGCACCACGTCTCGTCAATTCTTTCGAATGTGGTTACACTCCTGGCTTTTTTCATCAGTGTATCGCTCTTTAGTGGCAGTTCTGAACAAAGACATAGATGCTCAGAAAAATGCTATTTGCTGCGATGATCTTAGCCTATATAGACCTTGGTGTACAATAAGGCAACTGATAAATTAAAATTGAAAATAGGTATCTATTTTCAATTTTTCCAATTTGCATTAATCATTGATCACGCCATCATTTGAGAATGACAACTCGAAATTGGTATTTCTTTTGTTATCAACCAAATGAAATTTATCTATGTGAAAGAGAAACAGTGCATATTCGTGAGGAAATACAGTTGTTGTAAAATGCGAAAGTTTTAATTAAGTAACCAATTTTCGATTAGTTAGCTATCCTTAAATAGTTTCGAGTATTCTTTCCCTATTTACACATTAGTACTTATTAAGTACGGAGCCGCGGAAGGCCTAACGGGTCGTTGGGGCTCCGGCTCGAAGAGCAGCAGTAGAAACGGGGTGATTTTTAGTCAGTAAGAGTCGGATACTCCCTCTCGCCTCACCAAAAGCGAGAGAAGTCATTGGATGATTTTCCTCCCTCAAAAAAAGTACTTATTAAGTACCTTTAACTACCTCTAGTTACTGCAAGCATTAGTCACAATAACCAAGGAAATTGCACAACCCACTAAAGTTACAAGGGCACATACGTGGAAGTTTAGTTAACCACGAAAAATATATTTACAAAAATACATGTTTTTATGTTCCAATTAAAATAATGTTATTACTATTAAGTAGGTGGCCATTAAACAATTTTCTACAGCTTGTCTTCCGTGTAGGGCCATATAACTCGGCATTCGCATTTGCAGTATTTCAACCACAGGCAGTTCCACATAGAGTTCCTTCTATTAATTTTTTGTATCCGAACAACTCTTTGAAAGTATTTTTTCATGAAAACCCTGCTGGAAGTCGTACACAAATAAAAATAAAGCTCTGATCTACATTGCATTATTTAGAAACGCCTCCATGTTGCATTTAATTGTATGTTACATATCAGTACTAATTTATCTATGCCTACATATCTAAAAGCAGGCATCCGCAATGAACCAAATTACTTAATTGCATCTGACATTGCCCTGGATTGCTTAATTGTTAGTTTATATTTATACAGTAATATGAGAAGCGGTATATTATACTGCTTCTTTATTTATTTGAGGAGGTAATAAATTTTCATACGAAGTACTATATCAGTTACTGTAATACAATAAATAGGTATCATAAAGTGAAATGTAACGAAAGAAAGGTCGCTAGTAAATGCAAACCTTGATAATTGACTAGACCTGTTTCGTTACCTGTTTGGAAGTTGACATTTATTAGAACCAGTCTAAATAGAGCAGGTCATAACTAATTTTGGCTAGACCCCTGTCTAGATTGAGAAACAGCAAAGTGTCGCATGTCGCGTCTTACTGCGACACGCGCCCGCGCAGACTCGCACATAATGGCCGGGCGCGGCTGACACACATTCACACACGCCATTATTTTACGCACATAATATAACTGGTTCACTCACTACTAAGTGCAGCCTATAAAGGACCATAACGCCGCCACATTTGTCGCATTTAAAAGCCTTGTATTTCATTCATCTTACGACCACACCATAAATGAAATTGCAACAAGTTTTCGATTCCTCTTATTTATTACCTTAGCTTTAACACATCAATTAACAATACTCTACAATAAGTATAAATAAAACATTAACGTAATACGGGTCAGGTCACTTCGACGGCACAGGCTTGGTCGGACGAATCTAGGTTACTTGTAAAATGCTTGTGTTTAGATCCTGCTGTCATATTATGATTGATACAGATGTATATCACATGAGTTACAAGTATTACAAAGAGCAAAATCTAACAATTACACACACCTAATATAAGTAGGTCTTAAATGCATAACAATCTTTTCTCAATCAGATTTTTACATGAGTGGTCGATCAATTCATTGTTGCATGGCACGGAGGTGAGATGTTATGACGATCCAAATGCAACATCTATTTTCGCCAGTCAATACAATGCATGTTACAACAATAATAGATTCTAGCAGATTTAGACACTTTGCCACTCAATCGAAAGCATTTAAATGAAAATTGAAAAATCTAGATTCGTGACCAAGGAAAGATTTTGTTGGGACTAGTGGTATAAGGCATGGGCTACGGGAGCAGCCACAGCTTTGACGACCGGAGCACCAAGTGGTTCCTTGTGTACGACTGCGTTGAAACCGTTGTGAGGGTCGGCGGTGTACTCCACGGTACGACGAGTGCCGTCAGGCTCCACTAGGGAGTATGAGCCCTGGACTACGTCACCGGAACGAGATTCTTGCTGGTTCTTTGAGTCACCTGTCAAAATGCATTCAATTGTAAGATTACATTTGATTGGTTATCGAGTAAGACGTTCGAAAGCTATTTACTTAAAGTCGGAAAAAAAACTACTAAGAGGTGTTCGATTTATTAAAGCCTTTTTTTATAGAATAAACCGGTAAACATGCAGACGGATCACCTGATAGTAAGCAATCGGCGCCGCACACCCGAGACACCAGACGTGTTACAAACGCGGTACCGGCCTTTTAGGGATTAAGAATTTGAGGATTATTAGATTCGGGGAAGCCTTACAAAAGGCTAGGAAAAGTAGTTCTTAACCATAACATTATATAGAAACTCAGGGCTTGATATAATTCTCTAATGACTATAACATAATTTACCGGTGATAGCATCCTGAATGTCATAAGCGTAGGAGTATTGTGGGTTGGGGTCGTAGTCCTCGACTGGGGCGACCTTTGCTACTGCATGGCCGACAAATGGGGCCGCGAGGGCTGGCGCATACGCCGGTCTAGCTACTGCCAGGGGCGCGGGGTATCCCACGGGACGGCCGTAAGCGTAGGGCGCTGCCACTGGAAGTAGACCACCAGCCGCTCCTCTGCACACCGCCAGGATAGCTGCTACGATTATGACCTGGGCAAAAGTAGATTATAA